TCATTGTTCATTTTTTATTAATCCTTTTTTGTGCATTTTGGAAATGTTTGGAAATCTGTGGTTGGTTTGTTTGTGTCTGTCCTTTTATGGGACAGAAGCACGTATATGGGCCTGGATGCTGAACATGCCCCACAGTCCTCCCAAAGAAGGAGCAAAAGCACTTCGACAGAGCACTCCTGTTGCCAAACCAGTCACGGTAAGATGCTTGAAAGTGGCCATGATTATTTTGTTTGAATTAACGAAATCATTTGACATCTGTAGAAAAGGTATGAGAGCAACATGGCCCTTCTGTCTTAAACTGGGCTTAGAATTTCAGGCAAAGTTTGCAATGATTTCCTTCTTTTCTTCAGGCTGCATGTGACCACGACAGAGCTTGTGGAAGGGGTTTCTCATGTGATCGCCACTTTGGCCTTTGTGTGCCTCTAAGAGGGGAGGGTCATTACTGTCGGAGAGATGCACAATGTGTTCGTGGACTTAGCTGCATGTTTGGGAAGTGCCACCGCAGAATCCCCGATGGACAAGAGGGTAAGGGTGGACCAACAAATGTAACCAAATCTTTTAAATTTCCAAATTTTTCTTCATACGAAACCAGAAGTGACCACTGTTTCCTTAATCCAGGTGCCAGGTGTAAAGTTGACAGAGACTGTGGAGCATCGATGTGTTGTGCCCGGCATCATGGTGAGCAGGTGTGCAAAAGAAGACTGACGTTAGATGAGAGCTGTTATGTGCCTGATGGTGGCCTGGCATTCAGCATCAACCAGATTTGTCCGTGTGATGAGGGTTTACTTTGTCGTGAAAGCAGTGGAAAGCTACAGAGAGAGTAAGTACTACAAACACTGGTTTTCATCATCAGATATTTTACTCAATAAAAAGGGGTTCGCTAAAGTTACTGATATCAATATTCACTCCAAAGCTTTTAGTTTCATTGACAAATCAGTTCTGGGGTCTTTGTTATCTAGATCTTATTGCAAAAAATTAGGCAAATGACAATCACATTTATACCATTTTGTGGGTGTTAATTCAAATTCTTCCTGGACTTCTACACACTACACAATTGAACGGACATACTGGGTTTTCTGGACTTTTAGGCCATTTGAAAGGGCAGGTCGAGGACTAACTTCCCAGAAAACTTTTAAAGCTTTTAAGCCCCTCTGTTTGTACAACTGTTAGAAAAGTTTATCTTTTTATGTTACTTTTTAATTTTTATGTTGTATTGTGTATTTTTAAGACTTTTACAAACTAAGTAGGTTTAGAGTCGTTTTTAATTTATACTGGAAATGTACATGTCTTTTGGCATAAAACAGGTTCCACAATACAATTTACAGATGAAATTTAAGAAGTGTTCCAAGATGGAAAAATGAAAAAGCCTTTAGCTAAGACAGTAAAAGAAACAGTTCAGAAAAGTTGCTCTACATTGCAATGCAAATTTGTATGTTTGCACTATGTACTATGATTGTCTACTAATCTACAGCCTTAGTAACAGCAAGCTTTAAGAGCTTTTTTCTTTCATTCAATATGACAGTAACTGAAAGCAAGTAATATGTTTTAAACATGGTTCAGTTTATCTAAAATAATTGCTTCTTGCAAAGACTAACTTGGGTTTGTTTGTCTTTCAGGAGGGAGTTTATATACCAGCCAGAACGAACAAGCTGGACCTGTCAAGTGCCCAACCTTTGATACATTATCAACAGAAGTTCTATTTTCTGTGTAACTATACTGTATATATTTAAATGTATATGTTTCTAACAATATGCTGTATTGTTATTTGCTCTTATTAGAGGCTTAAAGAAAAGTTGTTTTTAATATTTCATTTTGTAAATTTTGACAAAAAGCACTACTGTATGTAGCTGGGCTCAACAAAGCTAGTGTCTTATCCAAAATCTTCATCATGATCATTTGCTGATCTTTCTTTCTCTAAATGTCTGAAATGCTTCAAGTTTTAAGCATAAATTAAATAAAAGGTTTTCCAAAACTAATGAGTATAATTTGTGTTTCACAAAAAATGTATTACAGTTTCTTAATTTTAAAGCTTCCAAGATCATTCCCAATCACTAATCAAAACATTTGGGTAATGAGTAAAGTACCTGTGCATACAGAAACATTATATACACACACAAATGTAAAACATTTATATAATCCAGACTTTACAGACAAAGAATGTTTTGAAATCAAAATATGTTTTTTGGAGAATTTTGCCAAATAACATCAAGATAACAAAGGTAATTAAATATAGCAAAAATAAGAAGTAGAATCAGAATTATACATTTTTAAAAGTAATGACAGTAAAGTCACTATTATTCTTTAAAATAAAATTATTTTAGATTTTAAGGTTTTTATTTTTATTTTTTTAGATAATTTGTATATATTCATTTAGCATACAATCAATTAAAATGTAGAGACATTTTGAGAAAAGTTCATCTTCTTGGATGTTTTGTTGTCTTCCTTACCACAAAGCTCACCTTATAGTAAATTTCAAATTACATGTTTATATAGTTAACTGTTTAAAGACTGAATTATGAAATAATTGCCAAAAATTCTTTATTAAACCTTCTGACAAGTTGTTAAAAAAAACCCTAAATGAAATATTAATTGGAAATATAGGAGTTTTAATTTGTTTTACATTTGCTACATCTGTTTTTTGTTTTTTTTTGTTTTTTTTGCAATTCATTGATTAAAACTGTATTGTGCAATTTTGTTTAGATTTGATTATGTAGAATTCTCAGAAAACCCATGTTTCAAATATGATGAAACTGAAATGATTTTAGGTGCTGTATTCCTTTAAAGCACCAAGTCGACTGTGCAATCTTATGAAAACAGAGTCTGTCTCCCTCTGAGCACGTTTCTTGGACTACAGGAAGGAGTTACATAATATAAAGGAATCTTGCAACTCCTAATTGTTAGCATCACCAGATGCTGTAATGCTAGCTGTCCCCTGACCCATTCTTAGATCAGTATCTTCCTCGGACTACGTCGGGCATAGTCTGAGGGCCATTCACATGCTAATCGTCCAGTTTGCCCCTTCAATTTCACGGTGACTTGAATTGTTCTGTGAAGGACATTAGTGTCTAACCTCTTTGCTATCGTGTTACAGAGCTTATCATTAAGTCTTTGCAAGGAGGTATTTGGTGCTGTGAATAGAGCCTCATGACAAGAAAGATTGGAAAGTCTTAGGATGTTTTATTAAGGTATTGATGTGTTTTTTCTGACAAACCTTTTGATTTTATGAACAAACAGGATGTAAAAGGCAAAGAAGAATTTATGCCAGAAATAATGCACAGTAACTAATCACAACTAGAGTTATTAAGGCTTCAGGAGAAGCCAGTGTGACTGTTCTAAACCTGCCAGCGAGAACACACGTTTCACACACATAAGAAAGGCAAACGAGACAAAAGCGATATCTAATAGCACAAGACTTTGAGAAACCTTATATTGCCGAATGCTGCAAAACAGTGGCCTATCATCTCCACTTAAGAACAGAAGTTACCATTGTAGGCAGCACGTATCACAGTCAACAATCGCATTTTGGAGGTATCTATACATGTCTGTTTGCACTATTTAGCTTCTTAAACGGTTTTCTATTCCTGAATGCTTTGTCCTCTAGCATAAAAGGAAATAAAACCAGTGTAGAATTTGAAGACATTTTAAGAAGCTGCCTATTTCTCTTTTTACTCCAGATTTCTGTAAATATTCGCCTGATGTATATATACAAAACCGATCTATCTATAACTATAAAAAGTGATTGTTTTTTGTGAAGTTAGTTTTTATTCTATTATTTCATATTTATCTATTTTTATACCCTTTATTTAACTATAAAAGCCTCAGTGAAACATAAAATCCTTTTTACAATAGTTACCTGCCCATGTAAGCTGCAATATATTATGTTACCAGGTATGGAGTTAAGGGCGTGGCCACCATTATTAACAGAGGTACCAATCATAGATCGTACAAAAGGTGGATGTAGCCACTGTGATGTCACCCATTGGTTTGTGAAGTCCTATTTGCAGGCTCAAGATTGGTGTTTTCGGACAACTTTATTTAAAAACAAATTATGCGACAAAAATAAGGCTTCCTGCAAAGTACAACCAACCAAGCAAGTGAAATTTTAGCATTTTATAAGTTACTTAGTGCTAATTAGTAGATATGTGTTTCTTGAGTCCTAACATTTTAAGAATGCAGCTTGCTAGTCTAGCTTAGCTAAGATTTACCCTCCCCCCTACAGGTGATATCTTTTGGCTAAAGAAAACCTCAATAAACTCCAAAAAGTAGTGTCCACAACCAGTGGTCTTCAAGCAGTGTATAGTTTTAGCCCTCAAAACCACATGAAGGTCAAACCAAAAATCAAATAACCCAATGACGACTCTACTGCTTATCATGTTGTTTTGGTCAGATGGGCTTAATTTGATAAAACTTGCATCCTTCTGGCTAACATTAGCTTTCTTGCTAACATGGATCTATGTGCATGATATTAATATTAGTTTTGCAACAATAGCAACACTGATCACACATAAAGAGATCACACATAGAGAGACTCGCTTTAAATTTTGTACTAGTCAAAAACTAATAGTTTTAATTGTATAAATTTAAGAATTCTCTGTTAGCTGTCTAGAACACACTCTACAACCCTGAGAGCTAATCCTTTGAGAGACTTTGGTCATTTGAAAGTCAATGTCTGAGCAGTACAGAGAGCTTTTGTGAGAAGCTGACAATAGAGCTCTTAAACCCATCCTGCCAAGGGAAAAAGTGGAGATAGGAGAATGGGTGAAAGTCGATTAGCCTTACCTGTGATAGTATAAAATCCCTCCCTAAGTTATCAAGAGTTGTTAGCTCTTGAATCACCACTCCAGGTAAACTGCTAAAGAGCCATGAGGAACCTCTGACCTCAAGGTGGTTGAAGACATTACTTCTGTCAGGTAAGTGTCATATGTGTTATATTTTCTCAGACTTATTTTACACATTATCCTGTTATTGATAATTCTTGAATTTCTCTGCAGCACCACACTATGGCTTTTGTCAGTGCACTGTTAATGCTGCTGCCTGTTGCATGGTCATGCATTCCCCAAAAAGCAGGTAAAAACACTTTGACACAAAGATGAGTATGTATTTAACATGCTTCTGCCTCATGACCTGTATAGCATTTATATGTAGATTTTTTTGGTCATTGCTTTTTAATGCAAAAATCACCATGCATCCTAAAACTATGACTTATATGAGTTATTTTTATACATATATGAAAATTATCCCTAAATGTGAATAAAGCTCAAGAGGAAAAACAAAGAAGGAATTGATAACCACTACTGTCACAGTATGATTAAATAAACTGTAAGGTACAGTGTATAATATTCCCTTTTTATTTTAATTTTTACTTCAGATTACGTTATGGTGTCATGTTTCCCTAATGCCATAATTGCCAACGTCCCAGAGTGTCCTTACGGCTGGGAGATTGAACACTTGTCTCTCGGTGGAGTCTGTTACAATGGAATACACAGCCCAGGTTACTACCGCTTCATCATCCCAGATCTCACACCCAAAAATCACTCATACTGTGGGACTCAGTCTGAGGTGAGAAGCCAAGTAGGCCATAATAACCGGTACTGTGCCGCCATGCTTAGAGATTAATTTTGTCAGTTTTTATTGAGACAATACCTGAGATTATTGTTGCCTCTTTACCTTACAATACAAAGCACCTTGAGGCAGCTGTTGTTGTGGTTTGGCACCATATAAATAAAACTGAATTGAAAGGTGAAATACTGACTTTTTATTTTGCAGACATAGGACAGGGGCTGGAAATGTAATGAAGGCATTGCATTGCATTGCATTGCATTGAGAATAACAGACAATCAACAAAATACAGGGTCACTAAAATGCAATCATGCTGAGGTTATCCCAAGGTCTTGGCATATAAAATTAAAATGATCTATGTAGGTATGAACACTACTGCATTATTTTTTGTAATTTGGTCTTACTGTCCCTTGAGGATAGTACTATTTAAATACAGAGAAGTCTCTCTCAGTTTATTTAAAAGTATTAAAAGTATTTTATACTTTTCATGCCACAGTACATTCCCGGCAAAGACCCCAAATACATCTTCTACAACTCCATTGTGTCCAACGATACTTCACTGACAGTCAGAAACCAGCCTGTGAACTACACCTTCAGCTGCACGTACCGAGCAGCCTATCTGGTTAATAATGCGGTCTTTAGCCAAAGGTAAGCACCAGTTCAGGATACGAGATGACCACAGCTGCTGTCTGGATGATATGTGCCTTCTGACCCAATGACTTGCAGCGTTTTTACTAAACCCTCTGCTTTTTCCAGAGTGGCTACAGTTTATGTCAACAATGGGAGTTTAGGCACTTTTAGATCACAGTTGTCTATGAATGTGTTCACGGTGAGTAGCTGCTCAAAGATTCGCCCGGTGGAATCGACATGTTTAACGTAATAAATGCTTTTTATCAGTGTGTTTTTGTTATAAATACTGTCTTTAATAAATGAAGGTATTATCGTGTACACACCACGATCATTGAATGCAAACGAGAACTGCAGACATCTTGAAAAACACAAAATGTCCCATATTTCATAGAATTCAAAGTTCCTGTATGCCAAGGACGCTCCCTATGTGATTGATACCTCTGAGATCGGCTCTGAAGTATTCATTGGCATCGAGGCAAAAGGTCTAAGTAACAGGTAGACTTTAGATGTTTGTATGTTTATTTTTGTAGTTTTAAAGGTAAGATTCTCCCAGACTTCTAAAGCGCATTTGTCCTTTACATCTCAAAGATTCAAAGTTGTGATAAACAACTGCTGGGCAACTCCTTCACCTTACTCCACAGACAGGAAAAGGTGGAGCCTCATCATTAAGAGGTACTAAAACACAAAAGGCTAAAACAACTTAAGGAACATTTTGTTCCCACTTCTTTATGTTTTATAGGATGTTTAATTGCTGTTTTCCAACAGCTGCTCCTCTGACAACACTGTGACTATTTTTGAGAACGCCAAAGACAGCCGCTCCATGTTCAAGTTCAACTCTTTCCGCTTCCAGCGGCAGGAGAAGGTGTCCACTGTTTGGCTTCACTGTGAGGTCCAGGTCTGTGATGGAGAAAGGATCACCTGTCAGCCAGTGAGTGTTTTGTTATTTAATGATACCAAAAACATTATAGCAGTCGTTCCCATCTACATGTTGCTGTTTTGCAACTGCTCTTTTTAAATGTCATAGTAGAAAAAGCACAGATGTTACTAATAACATTAACTGTGGCTCTGTTGTTAATTTCCAAAGTTTGACATGCACTAGATACAAAACCTGAAACATCTAAATGGAATTCGGCTATTACAGTTTTCTCAGAGTTTAGGTCTCTTAGTCAATCTTCTTTAGCTCATCATCTCTGAGAGCTGATTTTCTTCCAGGCTTACCAGATTTCTTCCCTGGCAGCAGATCACTTAATAGATGCATTTACAATCCTGCAGGTTAATCTGGGCTGACCAAACCATTTTAGATTAAACTCATTAAACTCACTATCAATGGACTGATGCAGACTGCAAGGCTAGCAGCATTAACCAATACATTTTAAGTCTAGCTTCCACATAGCTGGTAAGTTGCCTTTACTGGCCAGTCCATGTTTTGGCCTTTGACACCATGCAATTATAAACTGAATAACAGATCACTATAACATTGAATTCTGTGTCTTTATACAGTTAGGCACTTTTTCTGCAATAACATTTACAAATTAGTGATTTTCCTCTATTAACAAAAAAGCTAATTTCACATTCTGACTGGTTGTTTTTCAAGTTCTTATACTGGCCTTTAACATCAAAGTTGAGTACAGTGTAAAAAACAAACAAACATACTAAACAGGAGACCATGGTTGCTTTTTCTTGAAGAGCCCCTGCTCTGTGAGGAGTTTGCCATCAGACGTAGACCCAAATGGGGGGATCCTTACTGCTGAATTTCACATTAAAGGTAGAGTAAACCGTGGCATATTTATGACTGAGATCAATAAAGAGTAACTCATGCAGTCGATTGTATAGTATGAACAGTACTGGTTTTTTTTTAACAGGTAATCAGTCTTCTAATAATGGACACATAACAGGTAAAAAACAATGCGATGATAATTTTGGTTGATTGAAATCATAATCGAAACAAAAATAATCTGAACAATTAAAATTTTTTGATAACTAAGGTCTTTTATGCTTTAAATAAGTAGAGTTTAACTGAAATGTTTAAATCTGTGTATTGCTTTGTACATGAGCTGCAAAACCACTCAAGTTTAACATGAACTCATCCTCTCAAGGCTTACGCTCAGCTAATCGTGTTCAAACTTGGTTCTCATTCACTGAGGTTTGATCTGTTAATTTTTTTCTCCTTCCTTTAACAGGCGTCTCAGTGCTCATCCTGTTTGTGGTCCTGATAAACACATGTTATGATTTCATCAATGGATCAAGAATTTTATAAAACAAAATCATCAGTTTCCATTAACACACAAACACAGAGGGGAGTGCCACCCAGGACTCAGGGAGTGTATGAATACATTCCTCCCCACGCGATCATTATCTCACAATATGATTTTTATTTAGCATGTTTATTGATGCTTTGAACCTTGTGTGATATTTCACTCCTTCCTCCAATAAAGATTCATTACATTTTGAAAGAAAAGGAATTTTTTTTCCATTTGTTCCAAAACAAAAAAAAAAAAAAAAAAAAAAAAAAAAAAAATTTCATTCAGTCCTTAAATTAAAACCAAATTTTCGGTCTGACAGCACTACAACAAACAGAGCACATGACTAAACATAATATTACATTTTTTCCATTTCCATGACACAATCTAGAACAACTATAAAATGTCTTCTTCATTTCATGTTACACTGAAAATAAAAACTCTGATATGGGATTTATTTATTCAGAGGAAAAATGAAAACAGATTTTAAATCTCGTTGTTTGCTTGTCATGTTTTTATGGAGTGTTTTATAATGGGAAGAGGTGTTTTTCTCAGTGATCAATCACAGCTCAATCACAGGTATTTGATTATTATTATAATAAGCATTATCAAACTTCTGATTTACATGATCTAACCAAACCCCACAGTGATTGAGTTTAGTTATTTGTGAAATAGTCATATGACAATAATAGAAAAATACTCAATTACTGATTTATTTATTCTCCCCAGGTCTCAGTGACCAAACTGTGCACAGCTGAATGACAGATGTTGATACAACAACCAGCTCTGCAGCTGTAAGAATAAATTAGAAATGCTTGATTAGCTTACAAAATATTTTCTTATGAGATAACTTTAGGCACGTCAGAGCTGACTACATGTGCCACAACAAACAGTTTGAATGGAACGCTAAGCATTTTGAAATAATTTACAGCCTTGTGTGCAAAAGTGGATCCACTAAATACTTAAATCACAAAGAATAAAGAATTAGAACTGCAATTAGTTGCAATCCAAACTGCAGTCTCTGTTCATGCATTGTGTTCTGCATTTTCACTTTGGCCTCCATCCACATTTTGTCTCTAGTCCTTCTTTTTATACATGGATGACTCAAACTCATCTTGCATGGAACTTTTTAAAAGCTGTTAAAAACTGATATCTTAAAATAAATTTCTGCAGTATTCCCTGCTAATTAATATGCGTCTTTTCTCTTTAGATGTGTACTGGAGGCATCGTGGGTTCAGTTATAGGAGGTACAGTCAGGTTTTTTGGGGCTCTTTTGTCTTCACCTCTGGTCACTCCTGGTTTCTTCAATGGGAGAAAATACAGTAAAACAATAAAAAATACAAGTCATTATACAATACAACATATATACATATAAATAAATATTTGTGAGTATACCTCTGTTTTTACTGGTGAAGAACCACGGTCAGTGAAGACAGGATTAAATCCAGCTCTGTTCAGCAGCCAGTACGTCTTTTGAGTCCCTTTACCCTGTCACAAAGAGAAAGACATTCTGGTCAACCTAACATCTTTGTTATTTCATTTCGAGGGAAAAAATATTACAGACTGTTCACCTTCATTTGAATTTCTCCTCTTTCTTCCAGTTCAAATGATCCAGCCTGGAAAAGAATGTCTGCCGTGGACTGAGATACATGAATCTTCAAGGCTGTATGTGACATACACATATACTTCTAAAGAGAGATTTTAAGCAAGACAAACTCCTAGGTTTGCATGTGAGTTCAACAGCTCTGCATGTTTAATCATGCAAACATGTTAATATAGACCATCACATCAAGTTAATTTTTAAGGCATAATACGACTACTGTAGACTGTTAGCCTGAAGATTAGCACAAAATACAGAAGGAGAATGCCATAAATATTTGTAGGTATAAACCAACCAAGAACTGGACTAAATGAAATGGATATTATGAAATTATGAAAAATTAAGGGATTGTCAACATAATTAGAATTCATCCTCAAGGCACCATTAGCATCTAGAGAAAATTTCATTTCATTCTCATACACTGTACCCAACATAAACTCGTATGAGTGATGGATATATCTAACAAACCAAGGACACTGCATGCTAGCCACTGGTCTCTCTGTTGCCAATGGGGTCAGCTCTGGCTGGTCATGTGAAAGAATGCAGTCTTGTGGAACTTGGACACTGACTTTACTTTCAGGCCTTCGTACCCAGAGAGTGCATCTATCATTTATAAACAATGCCACAATGATTCATTCAAAAGTAGCCAAACTGACTGAAATCTAAAATTGTCAAACTTATAGTGAAGCAAGAAATCAATAGTCATGAATGTTTTGATTTATCTGAAAAATGCACTGTCATTTCTGCCCTATTAAAAAATGAAAGTGACAATAGTCACTTCAAATCATACCACAACTACATAAATCTTATTTTTTTAGGGTTATTCAGAGTTTAAATTTTGAAATTTCAACTGCTTACTCACGTAAGCTGTTGCTTTCCATGCGAGAAGCTGTGTTCACCGTGTCACCAAATAGGCAGTATCGAGGCATGGTGGTCCCTACCACTCCAGCAACCACTGGACCTACAACATTTTTAAAAGTCAGAATGGATTTTGTTTAAATTACTCAAATGTTCAATGCACAAACTATTTTTCCCACTACAAAGTCGTTCATACTTCTTGTCACTTGTACTTAGGTCTCAGTAATAGAGCTCTAGGAGTTTGTCAGTGACCATATGCTAGCCAAGTGGTGACAAAGGAAAAATGTGTATTCCATGACCGTGTTTGCTGGAAATTGCCGGGTAGTGACTAGTGTGAAATTGGTCCAAAAAGTATATAGTCCTGGACCAAAAGCCCCCGTCCAATGGCTTTGGTCACGATTTCCATGGTTGCCAATAGTTTGTAACTTAAATATTTGCAAATAACTGAGAAGTGCAACACAAGCCAAAAAGAGAAGTTTTGCCTTCAGCGTAAAAGTTGTGTCTTATTGGTGAAACCAACACATTTTAAAAGATGCAACTTTTACACTGAAGGCAAATAATGTCAATTTCCAGTTTTGTCAAGGTTACTATGGGTAACCTTGACAATCTGCTAGTGACCAAAATAATCAGAAGGATTTTTCTTTGTGCAGCATTCTCTTTGTGACTAATTTTACCCAGCAACAGCCACCAACCTCCAGCAATCACTCACTAACCAGTTGGGGTACTTTTCAAGACCTTCAAATTCTGTAATGCCATGGTCTCCATTGCTACTGTATCTTACCAGAGTGTATCCCAGTGCGAATTGCAAGGCTCTCATTTGGCATGTGACGGATTCTGAACACCTTTATGCCTCTCAAGAAATGTAGCGCCATTGTGGATATCTCCAAAGCATGCAAGTTTCCATTGCTGATAGGCAGACCACTTGCCACCATGTATGCATCACCAATTGTTTCCACCTTGTAATGTAGAGATGTAAATTACATTTTTAAAATAAAATAAAGCTGGAAGAAAATAAAACATAGCACAAACAAAAAAAAAAGATCCCTGAAATTTTAAGGAAATTAAAATTTTCATTAAACAATTGTAAATTGTTTTTTTTTATTATTTCGTGTAATAGCAAATAAATTTTCTAAAGTTTTAACTTTTAAGATTTTGCTTTTAATCAGATATGATTTCTCTGCATTGCTGGTTAAATTTCTTTAATTGTTTTTTTTTCTTAATAAGATAATGTAACTGGATGCTGAGTTAGTAAATATGGAAGGAAATGGTAAAGCTATTCTCATGTCTTGGTAAGAAAGTCAATATTTATCAAAATATCTATCGTATGATAGATATTTTGCTTTTTATGATCACAGTATGTTCACTGTCACTTACTTTGTAGACATCGTACATCTTGATGATGTCATCAAAGAGACTGTAGAGGTCGTTGAGGAATGTTACCACTTCCATCGCAGAGCTGACTGAGCACATGGAAGTGAAGCCGACAATGTCAGAAAAGAAGATGGTGACCAAGTCATAGCTTTGTGGCTCCACTGACTTCCCTGACATCAGCTGTTCAGCAATATATCTAAAATCATTGCAAAAAACAACAACAACACAAGATAAGGTTGACTGAGTATAGCAATACAAAATATATAGTTCCTTTGTTATCAAGTACCTTGGCAACATGCTGGCGAGGAGCTTGTCTGCACGAGTTTTCTCCACTGTAAGCTGATTGGTCCTCTCCTCCACCACGTCCTCCAGGTGATTTGCATACTTTTCCAACTTGTCCACCATATTATCTAGAATGTTTGCATGGCTACAAGATAGAAATTCATCATTAACTCTTTTGCAATGAGGATTTAGTTAGGTTAAATCTTACTTAGATTTGAGTAAGACTGAAGACAGTTGGAAGTTTTAGCTTGTGAACTTTAACATTTATGGGCATTATGGTCAATTTGTGTCTCACTTAAATAAAAATGTGGAATATGACTTTACACAAAAACTTTTTAAAATAAAAATTTAGGGGTATGATATTACCTGTCTGGACTAATGTCTTTCAGCCGCCTCCGTATAGAACCAAATGGCGGTCGGTGGTCAGGGTTTTCACTCCAGCAGGCTTTTAGCAGTGCATTGATGTTCTCTTCAACCAGCTGTTCAGACAGCACTGGTCGGAGGGGTTCCCCTTGAAAAGGTGTACTCAACTGCATAATAATCTCTGTAAGAACATCTAGCATTAGAATTTAATGGCCTATATCTTTCAACTTTGGTTAGACTAAAATATAATTGCCATAAAATTTTGTACTTCAATCCAATGCTACATTATTTCACATATACTCAGTAATCCACAAAGATACTTAAGAACTTGGTTGAAACCATCACATTTTAAAGTTATTACAAAACTGGGATAGACTGATAATTACAGCGCAAAAGAAAATGGAAGTAGAAATGCTTCTAATGGTGCCAAATTGCCAGAAGGTAAATAAAGCTGGAGATTGTAGCTAACTAACAGTAACTGATTTTGGGCGTTGACAAAAAATTTGTAGGTTAAGACAGTTAAGAAATCATGCCAACCTTTAG